CTAGGCACCCACAGGTTGCAAATCCCAATTCTTCCTGGTCTCGCTCCGTTGGTTGGTCATGACGGAACTGGGAAAAACCAGTTCAAAGTCCTGTCTCCTGCTCAGCAAGGGGCAATCCCCACCCTCCTGCCCCCCACCGTTGCAGGAGCTGACTGAATGTGGGGGTGTAGAACCCCAGAGTCACGGTGTGCCAAGTGTGGGCCATGTTTACCCTCAAAAGGCCAGTGCCAGGCCCTCGCCCGGCACTCGTGGCCCGAGCTAACTCGGGCTCCAGGATAAACATCCATTCAGCTGCACAAGGCCCCTTTTGTCCAGGGAGAAAGGCACCAGCCCAGGGCTGCTGGCCTGTTCCTCCGCGAGGTCCCAGGCCAGGCCGGCTGTCCCAACACGTCCAGCTACCCCACTGTGAGCTTCTGCGGGCCGACTCGGGCTGGGCTCAGAGAGGCCCCTCGGAGGACAGAACCCTCAGAGTGCCCAGGGCTAGAAGATGCTGGGAACCAGCATGCTATCTTGTAGAGTGTGGGAGGCCTGTGGGCACAGGGGCTGCTCAGCATGTCCCTGATGCCCCTGTGGCCAGATGAGGGCACTGAAGGGGCACAATCCTGCTTGCCTGTAGCAAGGTGAGCCCGGGGAATGCTGGTAGGCTGCAGTCACCTGGCTGAGAGATTCAGTGCCAGCCCTTGACAACATCACAGGCCCGCAGGTACAATTGTATGGCTATAATATATAAAGATTATAGTAAAGTCGTAGAGAATGAGACACAGGAGAGCATAAAATAAAGGAGTCAGACACATGCTCACCTCAGCCCCTCTTGATGGTCCCCGTGGAGGTGCGGGAGGAGGAGAGAGCGATCTATTTCTAACCAAGGCTTATATCTTTGGCGGTGTGCAAGCCTGCTGATGACAGGTAACCACATATGTCACAGGAAGGGGTTGTACCATAGGCAATACAGCAATGAGAGGGGGATGATCTAGGGGTACACACGCAATAGGAAGAGGAGGGATTAAGGGTACACCTGTGGCAAGATGGGCAGATGCTAGATTCATGATGGCGGCCTAACCTTGATCGTCCTTGAGTTGGTTTGATTCATTCTGAGCCCTTCAGGGAAAGCAATCCACTGTCCTTAACAGCAGAGAGCAAGCCCCACCCACGGTGGACCAGACAGTAGTCTAACTGCTCTGGAGGCCTGGTGCCTTCAGGGCGATAACTTGAAAATCATTTACCATTGGTTGCAGTACCCTAGGTCTGACATTATTTGGGGGTGGCAAGCTGGGGAAAGGCCCTTTGTATCCCACAATGCAGGGCCCCCAGCGTCCCCTCCACCGGGCCCCTGTGTTGAGGACATGCCCAGCATAGATGCCTTCCCTGGCTCTGGCCACTGATCCCGTGGGCCTCATCGTCCTTCTCTGTGCCTGAGACAGGGGTTCAGAGGTCCTAGGCTCTCCTGGGTAGTGACACCCCGTTTCTGCCACAGGTTGGCTGAGGTTCTTATCTGGAATGGTGAAGGTTGGAAAATGCCCATCCACTATGGGGGTCCCCGCCCCAGGGATAAAGGTGGATGGGGACATCCCTGCCTAGGATTGGGGTGGCACCAGGATCCCTGTCCAGAGGGAAGGGTGTGTCCCTGTCCAAAAAAACCGAAGGTAGGGTGGGGCGTAAGGGGAAGAGGTGGGCTTCAGCAGATGGCAGCTGTGACCAGCCCATAGTAGCCCACTCTTCCCTGACTGATATGTAGGGCGAGCTGGGGACCAGGCCCCAGGGCCCTGCTGTGTCTGCACGGGGCTGGCCTGAACCTGTCCTCAGGGCCCCAATCCCGCCGCTCAGCAGGGAGCTAGGGTTCTCCTCTCCCTCCCTTGTCCAAGCCCTGTCCCGACAGGTTGGAGCCAAGACGCAGCGCCGGCCCAGGCTGGGCCCGCTGGCCTCCACCCACCTGGACTGCCCCTGGATATCTAGTTCCTGGGCCTGGGGCACGTGGGCCTGAAGTGAGTCAGACAGAAACATTTTTCTGCGGAAGTGGAGGCGAGCCAGTGGGTGGTGGCAGGGACAAGTCTGAGCCCCTTCCCATGCCCACAATCCTCCACCCCAGGCCCCGTGTCACCCTGAAGGTGCCCGCAGGGACAGACCTGCCATGTGCCTCTGTGTGGGAGTAGCCTTGTGGGGAGACAGGCCTGGGGCCCCTCACCCCAGGTAGGCTCTGCAGAATGTACCAAGGGCTGGGCCCAGACCTAGGTCCCCCTGCTTCCTGTGGCCCCAATCTCAGGCCTCTCACATCCAACTGAGGCTGAAAACAGGGACAAGGAGCCCTGAGATCCCAGACTGCCAGCAGTCCCCTGTCCCTGGCTGCTCCTTGGTCACACGGTCCCAGTGGGCGCCCTGACATGGGGCAGGCAGGTGGGGAGTTGAGTTCACCCCCAAGGCTACCTTCTGTCCCATCCCTGGGCTGTGGTTTATAGGCTGCAGTGACCCCTGGTGGAAGCCCAGGAGATGTGGCTTGGCTAGTCCTGCAGGAGCCTGTCCTTGCTGCTGGACTCTCCCACCAGCCCCAGCCCTGTGCCACTCAAGAGCCAAGAGGTCCATGGGCAGTACTCTCCACCTACTGTGTTCAGGGGCCCACCATCACCTCCTGAGACTTCCGGTGGCTAGCTGCAGGCTCCACAGTCGATAAAAGGGCCCCATGCATCCTGGGGGGGGGGGGGAGGAGGGAAAGGAACACACTCACAGGCACACATACCTTCAAGGGGGCCACTTGGGAGGGGGCACCACCTGTGCCCTCTGCCTAGTTTTAGATGCTGACGGGGGAGTGCCCACCTCTGGGGAGGGGAACCAAGCTGTCAGGGTCCCAGCCCACCCGGGTCCATGCGGCCAGTCTTGCTGGGTGCCCAGGCCTGGCCCCGAGGATGCTGCCTGACCACCAACTGGGAAGAGGGGCACTGCAGACTCAGACCCACCCAACGCCTGTGACATTTTGTTCCCAAGTTTTGTTTTCGGGACACAGTGTTCTGGGCTGGGTGGCCCCAGTCTTGCTCCGGGATTAGCCAGCGCTTCGTGTCAGACAAGGTTCTGCGGAGACACAGGGAGCCCAGCTCAGAAACTGGGCGTTGGCCGACTTGACTGTGGGGTCTGGCAGGCCTGGAATTACAGGGCAGGCTGACAGCCCCGCTTTTAGTACCCCTGGTCCCCAGCAGTCAATAGAAAAAGCATACAATTGGTTTGGCGTGAAGCATAGCTCCAGGAGGACTGCTGTCTCTTACAAAGACCAGTATAAGAGGGTCCCCAAAATGCCCAGCTTCTCCAAACCGCCGTGCCCACCGCGGTCACCTCTAACATCCACTCCTCCCTCGGGACTCTCCCCTGTGCCGATTCATTCTGCAGCGTCTCACGGAGCTCAGGGACCGTACTTACAGTGACACCGTTTGTCAGCGTGGCAGATGACTGTCTAGGGACAAGCCAGGATGCACTGCCTCAACCAGAACCACTTGTCCTTGCCCTCTGCTGCCTGGCCCTGCTGGGACCTAGCCGTCACCAGGCCCTGCTGAGGGCCTATTTGGACAACTGTTAGCACTCTTAGCTCGGCGAACCCATGGTTGCCTGCAGCCTCTTGTGCAGGTCCTTCCAGTTGCAACCTTCCGAGTGACACCCCGGCTCCTTCTATGCATGTCCCAGCAGGTGGCAAAACGGACCAGTCCCCCCACTAGGGTTGCATACATCGTCCTTGTGTGGCCCCACCCGTCAAGACCGATGGACTTGCTGCCTTTGCACTGGGGTGCCAGGGAAGAAGATGGGTGCCCCAGAAGAGACCAGTACAACCAGAAGGCTCCCTACGACGTCTGCTGGGGACGCTGCCTCACGCAGGTGGAGACCCTGGAAAAGGACACCGTGCTTGGTCACACAGTTGAAGGGGGTGGGGGAGCTCTCCAGATGGACTGACATGGTGGTGGCAACCATGGGCTCAAACAGGCAAGTCTGGGACAGCGTGGGACCGGGCAGCATTTCCTTCAGTGACCGATGTGGACTGGAACTGGCTGCGGAGCACCTGACCCAAGACCCTCTACAAGAGTTCCACGATACCTTATTTGCATTTGTAGTAAGCTGCCCAATCCCCTTGGCGGGCCACAAGCACTTCATTTGCATAGTACCACCCCATCCATTTGAGGAAGTCACAAGACCATTCCTGGCTAGGAAGGTCAGGTGAAATCACTCGTTCAGTGTCTCCACTCCATCAGGATCAATTTCCAACTCTCAGGATCTCATTCCCGCCCAGCCAAGACCCTCCCTTTGTAAGACCGGGAATCGGTTGACTCAGCCACTCACAGGTGGAGACTGGGCTTGTCGTCAGTAGTCTCCGCTCAGCGGCTATGGCTTCTTCCACACCAGACAGGAGACACTTCCGGGCCTTCCCATGGTTCCTCAGGCCTTCTTGCTCCTTGCAGTGGAGGGTTAGGGTTCGCCCAGCAGGGAACGGGGACACAGGCTAGGATTCCCCGTGCGTGCGTGCCCCACTCGGTGGCTCGTGCTAATCCTCAGGAGGTGGGTAGGCAGGAACAGGTACTCAGTCTGAGAGCCAGCTGGATGGCTGTCTGTAGCTTTCTGGCCCCCACTGGAAGGGCCCTGCGGCATGTTCTGGGGGAGAGTTTGCCCAGGCTTCAAGCCCTTTGCCAACGGCGGACCCTCCCCCAAGCCCCGTCTGCTGGCATCCAGGAGGGCGCCGGACCAAAGGCTGGCTGCATAGGCCTTCCTCTCACTCCGGGCTCCTTTGTTAGTTAATTAAAGCACCAGTCCATTGGCTTGTGAGGCCACGCGGGTGGGAGGTGGTCTGCTCAGTGCCTGTCCTCCTCCCTCTCGTCCTCGCTCCTCCATGGCACCTGCTGAAGGCTGAAGGGTGGCTGGACCCACAGGGGCAGGAAGCCCCTGGTTGGCCGTGAAGCCGGAGGAGCTGGGTGAGGGCGGCAGCGGCCGTCAGGGCAGATGATCACTAGAGCAGACACAGGCGCAGGCGGCTCTGGAGCGCGCATTCTAAGGGAACTTTTATTTCGTCTTTCTCTGAAACAATCTAGCTCAGAAACAAGTTGAAAGTAAGAAAGAAGTACATGAAGAACTGCTCAGAGACACGGACGGACGGACGGACGGGGAGGGAGGGAGAGGTCAGATCTTCTCCATCTTGGCGATGAGGTCGTCGCAGATCCTGGTGAGCTCCTCATTCTCTCTCGTCTGCGGGAGGAAGAGAGAGGGCTGGCTCAGCGTGGGCTTGGCCTGCCCAGGCAGGGCTGGAGGCTGGGCGTGGGGCCCGTGGGCACACCTTCTGCTCAATGGTCTTCTCCAGCGAGTGGACACGCATCTGCTCCTTCCGCAGGCTCGCCTGGAAGGCCAGCGCCTCCGCCTGGGCCTTGCTGCGTACCTGGGCGATCTCCTCGTTCGCCCTGCGGATGGACGGATGGATGGACGCAGAGGGAGGAGGCTGAGCCCTGGGCCGCCTGGACCCCCAGGCCGGCCGCCCGCCCGCCCACCCCGCCCTTCTCCTCACCGGCTGAGCTTCTCCTCGGCGTGGGCCTTGAGTGCCTGATACCGCTGACTCTCCTTGTCCACCCTCAGGATGGACTCCTGGACGCACTGCTTCAGCGACTCCTCATTCTGCGAAGACAAGAGCAGTGGTGTGACCTCCTCCCGGGGCTTCTTGGAAACCTCTCCCGGCTCCCTGGGGCCTGATAGGACTGCACTCCCAGTGCTGAGGCCATCCCGAGTCCAGCAGTCCACGGAGGACGGGGCGGCTGTGCCTGGCAAGGGAGCCCATCAGCCACTCCCCGGGACGGGACGCCAGAGGCACGTGACTGACCTGGGGCTCAGAGTGGCCCCTGACCTTTGACCTATGGGACAGACTGCTCCAGTGGCACCCAGGAAGCTCCCCCCAGGGTCCCCTCATGCCCTGCCTGCTTCTGCTCCCCGTTGGCCTGTCCTCCTGTTGGCAGGGCAAGGGTTCCGGCCATGCCCACTCATCCCCGCTGGGTCACAGACACCTGCTCGGGGAGCGGAGCACCACAACGCACAGGCACCCCACAGGGCCCCTCACTCCTGAGGGCCCTCCAGAGGCTTGGATGCCGTCGGTGAGTCTCTCCTCTCCTGGCGGCCTGGGCCTCCTCCCAGGGACATCTCTACCCTTCTCCAGCTGCCTGGCTTCTGCTCCGGGCCAAGCACCGGCTGCCCTCCCCACGGGCCTATGGGGTGACCTTCACCAGAGAGGACCACGGGAGACTGCCCGTCCCCGAACAAGGTTGCACCTTGTGGTAGCCTTCAATGACCTCCTTCTGCTTCTCCAACCGCTTGAAGAGGTCGGAGAAGGACTTCTCCATGGAGTCCAGGTCTGCGGTCAGCTGGTCCCTCTCTTTCAGGACCGTCTGCATCCTGGCCTCGGCAAGCTCCTTCTCTTTCTTGGCCTCCTCTACAGGAAGCGAGAAGCATGGGGGCATGCGCTGGGTCACCGGGGGCCCAGAGCCAGGGCTGTGAAGTGGGCTGGGGCGCCGGGCACCCTGAGATGGCTAGGGGTGTCAGGGACCCAGCTGTCTCCACCCTGGAGCCTAGGCGAGCAGGCAGGGTGGGCACTGAGGGAGGCTCTGCAGGGGACAGCTGCCCGAGAGGCTTATGCTCAGGCTCGGCTGGGTGCTCCTGGGGGTGGAGGCAAAGGGCCCAGCAGCACCTGCGCTCAATCAGCCCCAGGCAGCTGCCTATCTGCTTAGGCTCCATGCCCACCAGCCTGGACGTGGCTGGTCTGGGCTTGACGTGCATTGGTGGGTGGATACTGCCCCATTCTTCCCAGGCTCCCCTCACCGCTGCAGGGGGGAGATGGCACCTCCTGAGGGCGGGGAGAAGGGGGACAGCCACCCCGGGAAGCCCAGAGCAGATGAGCCCTGCCCCAGGGCCCCACACCGCCGGGCTTTGGCCAAACTGGGGACTCACCTGTCACCTGGCGGGCAAGCTCTTCAAATTCATCCATGATCTTCCTGTGGGGAGAAGGGCAGACGAGAGTTCCAGCACCTGGG